AGAGGAGGAAAGCACAGGAAGAAGCTAAATTAGCTTTGGAGGCGGCCAAGAAACAAGCACAACTTCTAGCCAGGTACACAGACTTATTCAGAAAAGGAAACTATTCTTGTTAAACACCAACAGGATAATAGTTAATACTAGTCACATGGTGCCAATGCAAACAAAAAATATTTCTAAGGCTGCAACTCATTTCCTATCCATTTTATTCTGCATGAGTTACCTTCAGTGACTCACACTACTAATTGGAAGATCTTCCTAACAACTCCAAGTTATAACACAGTTCTTTATGGTGTAAACAAGTTTCAACCATTTTTTCTTGTATCTCCAACCTATACTAAAGCTCCGCAAGCTTTATATCCAAGACTTTACAACACCTCAAGAGCACAATTAACATCCCACCTACTACAAAGTAGAACATAGTAACCAGGTTTCCCTAATATGATATCAAAGAAATTACAGCTTAGATGACTTCATCCTATTTACTTTGTAGTGGTTTTAGACTGCAGTGTATTCACCTACTGCTTGTCAGACTTCTTGGCATATAGTATTCCTTGTCAAGACACAGATAAGGAATATTATCTGCCTTTGTAATGGCTTTTCATCTTTAAATATTTGAATTCTCACTTTGTAGGCAAAGAACAGCTCTGGAGAAGCACCTACAGTTCCAGCAGAAACTGCTAATGGAAGCCACTGGACTAGAACGTACACAGGATATATCACGGCCATGGGTTTATTCTTATTTTCAGCTGCTCCAAATACTAGGCTTGGAGACAACAGAAGAGAACAAATAATACTTGGATACTTGGGGGAAGGGGAGTTCTTGGAAGAGCCCACTGCAATTCCTCAAATCCAGTTAGAAGTTTCTGTTAGTTAATGTAACCTAAGGAGAAGTCCAAAACAGAACCTAGTGGTTCCCTACTCCTTTACTTGGGAAATGCTCTTTTCTCTCATAAAGCCACTTTCCTACAAACAGTAACACAAACAAACATTCAACCTTAAACAAGATGTTTCATCAGCCGGTAGAAAATATCTTTGGCAGTCCAAACTTGCCATACAATTATGTGAGACCCATAAGTGGGCCTCTTCTACCCTGTGTTATTTCCTCTTTCCCACGTTCAGTAGAAGGATGGTGTGGAAACTTTCCACACAGGAATTCTGGAAGCACAAGAGCCTCAGGATTTACTTTCTGAAGGATCCCCAGCCTACAGATTTACCTGTGCTGTTACTGATTCAAAAGTTTAAATGTTTATGCCTATCAGCACCATGCAATGTTTAAGAAGCCAACAAAGACTCCAAATAAAGATTGGAAAAGTGCCAAGAGACACAAGTTCTTGCTCCCACAATCACATTTGTCATGTTTTCTTCTGTACGATTTTTCTTGCTACATGCTGTCAGAGAGTATTACATTAAATGCAAACCATATTGCACAATTTCAACACATTTAGAAAAAAACCTACATATTATAATCATTAAGACTTTTATGCTGTTATTGAACTGGAGACGGACTTCATTTTAATTCAAATTAAATATGCACTAATTAGTGGTGCTAGAAGCAAAATAAATGGATTTATAGGACTTGTCCTAATTTACATAATTCCTTCAACTCTGCGCATGGACTGCCTGCAGCTGAACCTCCTCTCATTAACATGTGCTTGGTGGTATACAGGTAACTCCGAGTACAGGGGCAGTGGACACAAAGTTTGGCACAAATATACATACACAAAAACCCTCTTTTTTTAAATGCCTGAGGCAAGTTGAGAAGTGCAGCAAGTATACAGAGCATTTCCAAAAGATAAACAACTGGTAGAAAGAGATCTTACTTCAAGCATCCAAGAGTTGGTGTTGGATGTTGTTCTAACAGTGGTTCAGACCTTGCAAACTTTCACATGTGCTTAACTGCACTACTTTAAGGAGACACATTTCAGGTCAAACTTTAATCACAAAATGATAAAAACTTATAGATCCTTTAACACCATAAGATCTTTTGAGCAGCAGCTGATATATTATTTTTGTACAGCACCTAACAATGCAATTCAATATGAAAGATGTGGCATTTAGGTGCTACTATAGTAATTATTAATAGAGCTTAACAGATGGCAGCGAAGAAAAATTAGCTTCCTTCCTTTGTGGAGCAAACTCAGTAGGGATAGCTCTCTGGTCTCATTTTCAATTCAACTAAATTATAATGAAAAAGAACATATACAACTGCAAGCTATTCCATCAGATTCACTGGTAGTTCTGCTAATACACAGGCGCCATTCATATTCTACTATGGATGCAATGTGTTACAGACTTACAAGAAAAATGCGTATCTTGTACATATCAAGATAGACATTTTTGAAAGGTCAGATTAAAATTGTTCCCCCCCCCCTATTCCTGCCCACAGAATGTATTTGCAAAGGCCAGCCCCTCTTTTCAGCTAACAGGACTGCCTGAATCACATTTTCAGACAAAAAATGCTTCTATCCAGACACTAATTCCTTCCAGAAAGAGATTTCAAATGTCTGCATAAGGTATGATATGTCATAGGTGTTGGAAATGCAGTTGTCACTATACTTAAAATTCGAAGGATAATCACCATTAAAGTTAGTCATGGGTCGTGCAACCTATTATTCTCCAAGAAGTCTGAGTTCAGTGTCCAGTTATGTCTTTTACCTGAAGTTTCCCACTGTTACAGCATCAGTCAGAAAGTAATGCCTCAACCAATATTACTGAGAAAACACTTGATCTGAGCCTTCTTTGTACATCATCACTGAGCCCACATCTGTTTTTCAATTTAGTCTCCTCCCTCAACAGCCTTTCCCCGCCCCTCCACCTGCAAACCAGGGCACGTATCCCAACATTGTCTGACAGTAAGAAAGTAATGCCTGCTAATTTTTATCTCCAGAGCCAGCCATAGACAGGAGTGTGTTTTTCTTCATTTCTTGTCTGAGGCCAAAGTAAACTCAGGGATCTATGAAGTTCCATCAGTTTCTGAAGGAGCTAAAATATCATATTCAAAGAACCTGCTCCAAGAGTGAGGTGTTGCTTCTGCACACACTTGCCCACACAGCAGTTTGCATACAACAGAGGTAATACCTTTGTCTTGATGGACTGTACTACCCCATCTTCTGTACAACCTGGAGAATGAAGGACAGACTGTGAGGCAACATTTTGGGGGTGACTGAGCAATGGGACAGTGGCTACACAATAAGGACAAGGTCTTTTAAATCAGATATAGGCCCGTGTTCACTCATGGAAAAACGATAATTTAAGGAGAAGACTGCATTGAAAAACAGCAGTATGGTCAGTGATGATTCTAGTAACCTACTAAATTCACAGAAGTAGAGTGCATGGCAGCTCCTTTAATCTTGCATGTTCCCCCATATGCACCTCGCCCTTTCCCCTCATGCTGATTAATGGAGGGTCCCACCACTCCCTCCTGCTCATCAGGGAAGCTAAAACCGTGACTTTTAACATGGCATTGTTTCTGCCTCCCTGCCAGTTAACAACAAACAGCAGTGCCATATGGTGCCCATCAGTGGCACGAGGCAAAAATGGTGCCATATTTAAAACCACAGTTTTAGCCTTGGGGGGCATAAGAGCCACAGAGCACCCCACTTCTGCTGTGAATTCAATATGTCCCTGGCTGATGACGTACAAATGTTCCATGCAAGTTTAAATGTTTTTCAGTAATACCTGGCTAAGAGGAAAAAAAATAGGATGCATTACTTTGACTAATCCTCATAGATGCACTACTATTGAGCAGCAAGTAGAGATCTAAGTAGTAGGCTATCCAACAGTTCAGAGCAAGTTGAGTGGATAAATTATGGTTAGCCACCAGCATGTCTATAACAGTCAATTTTTTAGGAAAAAATTCTAGTAAAGAAAGGACCTTGGCATTCTCACAAGCATCCCACTGAAGTTGCAATTCCATAAATACCTCAACAGTAGGCCCGCCAGCCACCAAACTACTGAGAGATTTCCATGCCATCCTTTTTCACCATGTAAAACAGAGAGAAGGGGGAAGCTGGAGAAACCAAGTATGGTGGTCTAGTAGTGATGGAGGCAGCCAGGGACTTGAGAGACAGGTCTAATCCCCAGTCCTGTAACAGACTTTAAGTTATCCTCGCAGTGCTTCAGTTGCCCATCCACATACGGATCTCACCACCACCCCATTTCAGAGGAATGTTGTGAGGATACATTCATTAAACAAACTGAGAGGTGTTCAGATCCCAAGGCAAGGATGACTTGTGTATATGACAAATGTATCTATTTTAGGTATTCTGTAAAACAAACACTGAATCCTCCAAGGAAATGGTATTTTGCCCCATCATGTGTAATATTGGTGGTCAATTGTTGCAAATACATACTTTTTCCCTTGTAAGAATGCTTTGGTTAAACATAACACTTAAAAAATCCCATATTCTCTGAAATTTTGTAAACAAAAATTTTAATTTAAAAAAAAAATGATTTAGTGCGACTATGTGTACAAAAGAAGTGTAATACTAGATAAGAAATGGGACACTGAAACCACAAGCATGAAAGGAAGTCCATTTATAATTTTACAATGAGCACTGTAAGAAACTTGATTCAAAACCCACTTCTAATATATGAGTATTACCACTGCTAAAATACATGTTTTAAAGTGAGTTTAGAATTCTATTAATACGTTTGTTTGTTTTTTAAACTAAATAAGTCCCATTTATTTGTGGGATATACTAAGCAGAAGCACAGCAGTGCACTTTTTTCCTGCACTGTCAAGCCAACCCACCTTCCTGAATTTTAGGACCCATTCTGGTACGGGTCAGTTCAGGCTATGCCTTGTCATGATTGTGTCTAGCTGTTGAGAGTACCAATAGGAGTAACCACTAAGGTGGTACCTCTTCAAAGATGGATAACTGGTTAGAAATTGCAGTAAGCTCACATCTCATTTTAGATGAGACATTCACTCATCTGACAGTAATTAATTTAGGATACTAGTGACTTGTGCCAGGAGATGCAATGACCTAGAGGTAAGATATTAATGATGTGTTTAATAGTCCCTTCCCAAGTTACAGGATACAAGCTAACCTCTAAACTTTAAAATTTAACATGAAGCTGCAGTGTGTATATATTTACATATGTTTTTAACATTAGAGCAGTATAGAAACAGTTAGTTTCAAGAAAAAGGAATGCTGATTACTGTTTAAAACAATTAGTGAGAAGTTAATACTTGGAGAGAGCAGGGAACAAAAGAATATTAGTTTACAGGGTAAATTTTTCTGGTTGTATTATTTTCTGGTTCTGATCTCATTTACTAGACAGCCATGTTCCACTTTTGATTGTTTTCCACTTAGTCTCTTGCTCTCTCATCTCCAAATATTTGAAAAGAAAATGCAAATTGTTGCTGTTTATAAAATTGTTTTTTCTTGTTTATTTTAATGAAGCTGGTACAGACAATGTCCATTCAAAACCCATGTCCCAGGCCAAAAGGTACAAACACGAGCATCTAAAATAATACCAGTTGTCTGCTGTGTACATTCTTGCATGAATGCCTGTGTATTAGTTGCTATATGGAAGTTAGAACTTTCTTGGGCTCCTCTGTCAACATTAAGGATTTTCAATTTTGTCTTCAGTGAAGCCATCTCTGGAATAAGGTAGATGACACCAGTTCTTACTTTTCCATTTCCAACTGAACAGTCTTCTTTCCTGGGCCATCAGCACAATTAAGGAAAACAGTGCTGAATTATGGAAACAATTTCTTCGCCATTTGATTTTCTGAAAAACTTCATCTCCCACTGAAAGTTATAGTCCAGGAGTGAAACAGTCACATATCAAAACTTCAGGGCCGAAACAGAAGTCATTAAGAACACTTGCACATCTGGTAGATGTTACAACCATCGTGCCCAAAACGCACGCTCCCAGTGAATATACAAATGCATGTGTGTATGCATATTTTTAAAAGGGTGGGCAGATTGGGGGTGAGGGGAGGAGGCAGGGCTGCAGCCGGATCACAAGAGTTCAACACAATGAGAAACAGAAATGATAGTGTATAATGAGCACGAGAATTCAAAATACCAGACTTTGCAAATAAACTCCCAGAGATGGGATGCCAGTTTCAATTCAGTGTTGAACACCACATTACAAAAGAACTATTATTTAAAAATAAAAAAGGATTAAGGGGAAAGAAAAAACAAAACAGAAGGATCTAAACTGCTGAATGACCTCCTGTCTGTTCCTGATAGACTTCAATCACATCTTCCTCCTCCATCCCCAGCTGTAAGAGTAAGGGG